AATTTTTTTTTTTTATATCAAGCAGCCATTGTGAATGAATATCAATATGACTGATAATTTAACAAAACCCCCAAAACATTAATGAAGGAGATTTATCAAAACTGGAGCAGCTGTGTATGGTAACCAATCGGCTTCTCTGTTTCATTTTCAAATCTTAACTGAACAAACTGAAGAGAGAAGCTGATTGGTTACTATGGGCAACTGCTCCAGACTCTGCTCCAGTTTTGATAAATTTCCGCCTATATATTTTCTGAAAGCCAAGACCATATAGAATAAAAAGGTGGCAGTTGCAAATGTTGCACGGTATTGGCACAACTTTTACGGCTGGGGAGGGGCACTTTACCAGCCCATAGAAGCGATCTTGCGGCAGCTGAGCCGCCACAATCGCTTCTATTGTAAAGCCGGCAGCCTGTTTTCAGGGCCGTGCTGCCAATGACAAACTAGGTACATCCATGGCCGCAAAAGGGTTCAAGAATAAATTTTTGGCTATTATTAGACTGCTTCAAAGTTAGGAACAGCCAATAATAACCTTAGTGACACTGATCCACCCTCCTCGCACGCCCACACGACTGCCCACACACATGCCCACTTACACAACACGCCCCCCCTGCCCGCACACCTGTTTGCATCGGAGCGGAGAGCTCGACAGCTGCAGCCAGGTAAGACATCCCCCGAAAATAAGACCCAGTGTCTTTTTTCATGAAAAAAAAAACAGTCTTATTTTCGGGGAAACACGGTAGTGCATCAAAGCATAACTGTACTCAAAAAGTATGGTTCACTCTGCTGCTTGGAGTGCAATTAGTTGTTTTTTCTGCATTGTGGCTTGTAAATAAATAAACCTTCATGTGAAAGTGCATTTGTATACATATGCATTAATGTGGTCAGACTCTGGTACATGCTGATTTCCATCACATATGTTCATATGTTTTGTTTGTGTGCAGTTTAGCACATTACCATCATTTGAAAATGCCATGTGACAACATGTGCCGCAAAATGTATTCACTGCATTAGGAAGGAATTCTGCTGCTTATTTATTATTTATTTAATTGTTTAGATTCTTCACTCAACGGAGACTCTGTTTCACAAAAAACTCTTCGTGCAGATAAGGAGATAGAGGTGGAACAGATTCCCACTGCCATCAAGAGTTCTTGTGAGAATCCACACAGCCGGTCAGTATGTATACACAAGTGCCAACATTATGGCCTTTGACATCTATGCATCCACTCTTACTGGGACAGTTTGCGGGAGTGTGTGTTTGGCCTAGTTGGGTTTTCACAGCTAGCAGCTATTTGTAACAGGATTATCTGCCTGATTTAATAGATAAGCATTTGTGAATTCTAGACTTCCCCCCTCCTTGCCTGCTTCTGAAAAAGTTAACTATTTTTATGCTGCTCTTACAGCTACAGTGATTTGAGTTTTGAAAACAAAACCTGTGATCTGCATTAACCCCTTCATGACTCAGCTTGTTTTTCGTTCCTGTTCGTAAATGACTGAAGCACTTTTGACATTTTTGCTGTGTGATTCCTCCACGTCAGTAATATACTTTCTTACAAAGTGCACCCACACATATTATATATTGTTTTTTAGAGGACAGATAGGGCTATATATTTATATCACATATGTGTATCTAACGCCTCACTTAGGACAAATAAAATATAAAAAAAGAGGAAAAAACGTAAAAACACTTTTTCCCCAGCTTTGATTTTGTAGTGTATTTTAGAAAAATAGCACAGCTAAAAAAAAATGCAATAAATACATTTATTTATTTGTCCTTTATTTGAATAAAACTCAAATTCCTAGGATTTTAGAAATGTTTCTGTACTTCTCAGCCTAAAACTAAAATCCTAACATTTTAATCTTTTTTTTCTCTCAAAGCTAAAAGTGGTCACCTGGCATACAATGTCACTGTCACTATGTGTCACACGACATACTTTGAACATCACTGTCATGAGGGGCTAAAAAAAAAATTTTTGTAATCCCTTAGGGTGAAAAACAAATCTGCAGCTCAGCTGCAGATTTTCATTGTAAGGGGTTAATTTTTATATAAATGATAGTATAAAAATATATATTTTATTTGTAACATTTATTTATTTTTTTGTACACTTTTCACTATTTAAAAAAAAAAGTTTTTAAACTTTTGCCTAGAGTTGAGGAGTATGGACCTAGCTCCCTACTGGGAATCTTAGTTGCTGTGTTTTTTTTTTTGTCTTTTTCCATTTACAGGGGTTTTTAATCTTTTTATTTTCTTGTCTTTTTTTGTTGAAATTCAATCAACAGCTGAGCAGGGTGACAGGCTGGATAATATAGATCTTTGTAGTCTTCCAAGCTCAGCCTCTGAGTGCATGCATATTCCACCTATAATGCCTATAATATCCCACCATTTTTCTGCGGCGTTGTGGCCAAAAAACCATACCTACGACGTGGAAACAAGGCTAAGCAATTCAACTATGCACAAAAACATAGGAACTGGGGTGCTGTTGTGATGTGCTGGGCTTCTGGTGTGTCCCTGTGCCTTTTAAAGAGGATTAGGCTACCTCCTGGCAAACCAGCACCCAATTCATCCTTTGCTATACATGCTCTAAGATTGAGGCTCTGATAGATTAGAGTTAGGACCACAATACACAGAGCGGCTTTGATGAGGCAGTGTGGCTTCCACATATTTTGCTAAAGTTGTGCAATTAAAAGCTCTGTTTTTAACCCTAATAGTTGAGTACTTTGTTTTTTGGGGGTTTTTTGCAGGCTGGCTGGTGAGTGTGCTTGGAAAATGTTGCTTTTCTACTGTTTTGGGAGATAGTACTCTCTGCCCACTCGGGCAGTGATGACCAGGCTTCCTCTTTGTCTTTTTCACAGGCGAAATAATTCGTTTCTGCTCTTATAAGGTCTGTGAGTGACACGCTTAAGATTGAAGATTTTGCAGATGCTCTGTCAGAAACTCTAGTTCCCTTTTGGTACGCACAAGTTGAGGCGCTCAACTAAATTGTGTCCGTTATTACACCTTTTATGATGATTTTATTTAACCCCTTCGTGACTGACGACGTACAGTGTACATCTCCAGCATCGGGGCTGTTTAAACTTGTAGAGCCGACTGTCAGCTTTACAACAGAAGCAATTCTGGCGACTTACCTGTCGCCAGATCGCTTCTGTGTCCTGTAAAATAAATATATAAATAAATAAAATAAATCTAATCTAAAAAAAAAAATTAAAGTCCCCCGCCCCCGTGAGCACGCGCGTCGCCACGTAAACACGCGTCGGGTGCGCCTACATATGAATGCGCTACACATGTTGGGTAGCGCCGCGCACGCCGGAGTGAGAGCAATAATTCTAGGGCCAGTATTTTGGGGTATCTCTAAATTGATGACCTGTGGGGGCTTTTAAAGCGTCTTCTATGGATTTTGTGGGGTACTGCAATTTTTCGCCGTTTTACGGATGCACGCAATTTGTAACCTGGGCATGTTGGGTATCGTTTTACTCGTTGTAACCTCATCTTTTATATTTCATTTACAAAATGAGTATTTTGTTGTGTTTTGGGGCTTTTAATTAAATGTTTCACTAAATGTTGGGGTTTAATAAGGAGCTGTGCTAATATTGCTCAACATAAAAATTTGCAACTACCACCATTTTATTCTATAGGGTCTTGGCATTCAGAAAATATATAATGTTTGGGTGTTTTTAAGTAATTTTCAGGCCTAAAATGAGGAATATAACATGGGTGCAAAAAAAAGGCCTCAGTCATGAAGGGGTTAAACGGAATGGGAGTGTCAGTCGTGGACCCCCCCATCCGTTTGAACAAGGCAATGGTGAATTCAGTGGAGGAGTCGCCATCCTTCAAAAATCTGATGGACAGGAAAACTGAATCTGTAGCGAGATCGGTGTGTACCGTCGCTGGATCGACTCTATGGCCTGTTTTGGCCACAGCTTTGGGGTCTCAGACGCTCACTGAATGGACGAAGTACTTGCGCCACGGTCTGGAAGGTGAACAGGTGTCTCCTGTATATGTGGAACTGATTGATCAACTAGTCCACTGTCTCCAATATGTCTCTAACTCTTCGCTGGATACTAGACCCTTGCTGTCTACGTTTGTGTCTAGGGTTGTCCTTTGTGTCTGCGGCTCAAGTGCTGGTCTGCTGCCCAGACTTCTAAGAAACTGTTGACAAACCTTTCCTTTTAAGGGCAATCACTTATTTGGCACTACGCTCGATGATATTATCAAGAATCCTACTGGGGGAAAGGGACCTTCTTACTGCCACTTGAGAAGGGTAAGGAGCCTTGGCACAAGTAGGGTCCTTCTTTTTCCACTGCCAAATGTTTTTTTTTCTTCCCCAAGGTGCCTCAGTTAAGAGCCAAAAATCAGGAAAATCCTCCTTCTCTGGTGGGCCGAAGAGATCCTGACAGTTCGTCATCCAAGCTCACTGCATTAACGTTCACCTCCACCTTTTCAACTCAGGGTGGGGAGACTTCTTTGATTGTTTGTGGATCCTTGGCTGGCTCACATTTTGGGTTTGTGGGCTTAATGTTTTGGGTTTTAAGATATAATTTTTTTTCCCCCCTTCAATCCGGTTCTTTTCCTCCAATCTTTGCCTGTCTCAGGCGCGTCTGCGCGATCTCTGGTTGGGGGGACAGAATCTGCTTTAGCCGAGAGGTGTTTTTTCTAGGTCCACCATCGGAAACATTCAAGGGCTTCTATTCAAATCTTTTTATTGTTCCCAAGAAGGACTGCATTTGACCGATTCTGGATCTCAAGGCGCTCAATGCCTTTGTCAAGGTTCAGAAGTTCAAAATGGAGTCTATACGTTTGGTGGTGGCTTCCCTCCACTAGGGGGATTTTCTGGTGTCAATCGACATAAAGGATGCCTACCTGAATGTCCCAATTTGTCCTGCGCTTCAGCTCTTTCTGCATTTTGCAGTGAGGGGAAGAACATTTCCTGTTTTGTAGCCCTTCCGTTTTGGCCTGGCTTCAACTCCTGGGGTATTAACCAAAATTTGTGGCCCCAGCCTTACTGAGACAGCGGGGTATCTCGATCGTGGCTTATTTGGACAACCTCCTTCTCCGGGCGGAGTTTTGTTCGGTATAACTGAATATATAGCGCTAATAATTCAATCTGTGCAAATCGTGTCCGCCTAATCAACTGCACCGAGTGATGTCAATGCAGTGAATTAGTTGGTAGCCTCATTATCGAGTGCAAAACTATATAAGTGTCAAGTGACTCCAATAAATTATTATGATACCTCTATATAATAAAGTGCATATCCAATTACAGGTGCAAAAAAGCAAGTCAATCTCTGTGCAATTATATAGTGCAAACTACTTGATAAATGTGTTTGTGTTACAATACAACAATAATACTTTAATCTCTATTAGATAATCAATCATATAAAAATATCTGTGCAAATATCCACTTCAGTGCAATATGTAAAATCCTTAAAAATGTAAATGAGTGATAGATAAATAAATATATATCATATAGTGATCAATCCATATTCCAAGTGATCTCAGTGCAAACGCATATCCCTTTGTAAAAGTTTATCCATTAAAGTGCAATTTATGCAGCCTCCAGATGCCCAGACGGTAAGTGAAGCTTGCTGAGGATCGTATTTATATTTGTGTTCACTCGTCCACCCCCTTCAGAGTGCGTACTCGCTCTATTGGCTGCAGCACACAGCCCAAAGCTTTTTGTCTGGTGTGACACAATGTTGCAGCGTCCTCGATGAAGCAAAATACTTTACCATCGATCTCCGAAGTATATGAAATTCATACAATCATAGAAAAAGAAAGCCCTTCATCGTGTAGCAGTTTAAAACAGTTTATTAGACGATGGAATAAAAAATTCACAGCCGGCCAGTCTGCTAATGCAAAGTAATCCGTAATCTCGTTTGGTATGGTGTCGAGATAGGCCCGCCCTTGTGCGTTTCGTCATCAAAAGACGTCCTCAGGGGAATATGCAGGAGTCTCGTTCGGACCTGGACACCAGTCTGGCAGTTACCATGCGCTCTCTGGAGGAGTTCGGCTGAGTCTTGAACATCAAGAAATCTTCTCTGTTGCCATCCCTTCGTCTGGAGTTTCTGGGCCTGATCCTGGACACAAGTCAGGCCAGGGTGTTTTTGCTTCCAGAAGTGTTGGTGGCTCCGAGCCCAAGTTTGCCTGTTGTGTTTGTGCAATTGGGCATCAATTCGCACTTGCATGCGGGTCCTTTGTCTGATAGCTTCCTTGTTTGAGGCAATCCCAGCCTAAGCTTAGTTTATTTATAAACTAAGGTCTATCAGTTTGGATGAAATTGTATGTACATGGGTGGAAAACTGGCTGCAAGAACAGATCCGCTAGGATGTTCCAACATGACTGCGCACCAGTGTAGAAAGAAAGGTCCATAAAGACATGGATGAGCGAGTTTGGGGTGGAGGAACTTGCCTGGCCTGCACAGAGTCTTGACCTCAACCCGATGCAACACCTTTGGGATGAATTAGAGCGCAGACTGCGAGCCAGTCCTTCTCGTCCAACATCAGTACCTGACCTCACAAATGCTCTTCTGGAAGAATGATCAAACATTCCCATAGACACACTCCTAAACCTTGTGCACACCCTTCCCAGAAGAGTTGAAGCTGTTCTAGCTGCAAAGGGAGGGCCAACTCAATATTGAACCCTACAGACTAAGACTAGGATGCCATTAAAGTTCATGTGCATGTAAAGGCACGAAGATTTCAAAGAGCATTGTGAGGAATGAAATCTCCATTCCTGGGTCCAGGCTTTAGTGGTGACCAGCACCGAAAGATTGTGCACCTGGGAAGAGCCCTTATGAGAAGAATGCTGGCTCATGTTCAGGGTTCCAGCTGGAAGACAAGGGAGGTGTCTGTCACGGAATCAGGGGAACTCCAGCCCAGCCTGGAACCAGCCTGTGTGGCACGTCAGCTTGATACAGCCTGTGTGGGAGAGGTTTTTTTTGTGATAACCTGAAGTCGTTGAGGCTTGGAAAAACATTATTTTTTTATCAGCATTTGAAATAGGTTAATAACCTTTTGACTTTAATATCACTTAAGCCGAGTTGGTAAATTAAAGATCAGTCCAACGAAATGCAAGTCACGAGCAAAGGCACAAATGGGAGCTCTGAGGCAACAGGAGTGTTGCTCAGGCAAAGGGAGTTTGAGCAGGATTTAAATAGAGAGAGATGGGGGCTGGACAGAAAGTAGCCAAGAAGCAAGGTAAATTAAGCATCAGGTGACGTAGGTGACCAGCATAGCTGCTAGCTCTGTGCAGCAAGAGCAGAGCACATGCGCTCCCCCCACACCTGTTCTTATGCCACTGCCGTGCCCACTCTGACGAGTCATTTAATGCTATTGGATAACCTACTTGAATGCTGGGGAGTGTGGTATGCGGTTCCCCCTTCTCTGGCGGGTTGGCTTGCAACATGTGTGCTCTGTGTCTACAAGCGATGTGGGCGTGTCTGCCAGCAGCACCGCCACCTTGATAATGAGGCAGGGAGGTTGTGAGGAGGAGCTGCAAGCAGGCCAACTAATTGAATGTCCAACTAATTGATAATGAAAATTGCTGAAAACAGTTTTCTTATTGATTATTATCGACCTTAGTCAGTTAGTTGTTTCAGCCCTAGTACTCGCTGTAAAATCCTTTTCTCTGCATTCACTGAAGGACATAGCAGTCTCCCCTGTATGGTTCTTTGTGCCTCTGTTCTACTGCCTTGTGACTAACTGAGCTAATTCAGGCAGAAGGGGGTTTTGTCGCCTGTGGGCTCAGTTTTTCTTTTGTGCCTAAGTGTCTTAATCTTGTAGGTGGCGGTATAACCCATCAGTTCAGAGATACGGTCCTATTTTTTTTAATAGGATTTTCCAAGTGGTCACAAGACTTCTGTTTTGTACAAGGGTAAGGGCTGGGGGAGGACTTAGACTGCAGTTAAAGTGACATTAAACCCTCAGATTTTTTAACATAAAACAATACTGTAATGTGTGCCTTACTGTAATCCATGGTTGTT